CGCGCCCCACCACCACTTTGAAAACGAGCGAGTAAACAGCTGCGACGTGACGCGGCACACCAGTAGTATTGTTTAGTGTTTGGGTCAGCGCCGCCCCGCTACGCCCCGCCACGATCTGATCTGTGAGGGGTGAGGGGTCTCCATCCTGCTGTCTCGTAAACCCTCTCTCTCTCCCTCTAGCTCCATGCCATCCCTTTCTCTCAGATCAGATTTGTTTTCGTGGCGCACCCCAAGCAAGATGACGCGCTTGCACGTAACGGAGTTGAAATTCGAGGAGCCCTTTTGTGTCCTGTATAGCTGGGCCCGTGTCCCCCCCCCCCCTTCCTTTCGTTCAGCCGAGGTCCTCTGTTACTTTCATTTCTGTTCAGTCCTGCAATGTCGGCTACTGAGTCGTTTCGTTTGCCATAAAACCGGCCTTCCTGCTGCGATCTACGTTTCCATTCAATACAATGGCTAATTTGTTTTTGTTGTTTTCTCTGACGTGTTGCAGGGTCGATGATGGAATCGCACAACCCCTACTGGGAGCAGGCCTTTTCGCAGCCCTTCTTCGACAACACGACCAAGAGGGACGTGACCACTACCGTGGGCCAGGGAGCATACCTCATCTGCAGAGTGCGGAATCTAGGGGACAGAGCGGTAAGTTCACGGCTGAAAATATGTTTAGTGTGGACTTTCAATCAATTTACTTCATGAAGGCATATTCTGCTAGGTAACTAAACCCAAACCTTTTGTTTTAGGCCTCCTTCCTCACATCAGTTGAGCTCAGTTTTAAAAAGTGTCAAAACGATTTAGTTGATAAAAACTTCAGTATTGTGTAAAAGCAGGGGGCCGAGTAGGAAAATATTTTAGGAAAAGTACCTACTCAAAATTTAGTAAAAGCGGTATAGAATTATAGTGCATTAGGAAGTGCGGAAATAGGGAAAAGGCTATTAGGAAAACTGGATTAGGAATTTTGTACGGGAATCTTTTTAGGAATAGAAGGGTTTCATAAAACCCATTTGCACATCTCTTATTCAATGATTTTGACCTCGTATCTCTTTTCCCTTTGTGTCCCGCAGGTTTCTTGGATCCGAAAGCGAGACCTACACATCTTGACCGTTGGGCTGCAGACATACACCAACGACCAGCGCTTTCAGTCGCTGCACTCGGACGGATCCGACGAGTGGACGCTCAAGATCGGATCGCCCCAGCTCCGGGATTCGGGCACCTACGAGTGCCAGGTGTCGACGGAGCCAAAAATCTCGCTCTCGTTCCACCTGAGCGTCGTGGGTAAGTGGTTTTGTTCCGCCTGTGTCCGGTGTGCCGTGTTCCCTCTCGGTCGCTGCCTCTTTTTCACTTGAGTCTTTTCCTTCGTCTCTGCCTCTGCCCTTTTCTCTCTTTCGTCCTGGCATATTTCATCTCTCGCCTTTCTCCTTTTCCCTTGCAACAAGTTTGCGTTCCATACGTCGGCAAACACTGCGCGTCGTGTTACTCGAACGCAGAAGCGAAAAGTCGCCCTGCCAAGTCCACTTAGAACTCCGACGCACTTGTCGCTGCTGCACTTATCCGGGACGTAAACACAAGGCGCCCCGGGCTGCATTGCATCGGAAAGCAGTGGAGTGGCGGCGGGTAGTTTGGAGCGGAGCGTGAAATTGGCAAACAAACACTGGACCAGCACTGCCGCCGGCGGCGTCCCCCCGCCCTCGCTGGCGCGCGCGATTCAAACAAGTAGTTGATTCGACACTTTCTGACTAGATCTTGGCCACCCTCTCCCCCTTCTACCCTCGCCCCCTCTCGCTCGCTCACCCGCTAGTGATTCGGCACTCCGAGACGCCGTTCCCCTCTCTTAAGCCCCTTAAGACCGTTTGGCTCGGGGGAGAATGCCTCGTCGAATCAGGGTACACACGCCTTAATTAAGCAGGGCCCCTCCGGCCCGGCCGGCCCCCTGGCCCTCCTGATGAGAAACATAAACTGTATGAAAGCGGCCCCGGGCCATTTGCTGTGCAGCGGACACGCCGAAAGTCACACAAACTCGCCGGTTCGGCGCGCGCACCGTGCGTCTCTCTCTCTCTCTCTCTC